CGGCAGGAGAGAAAGATTGTCCGAGAGAGGATAAAAGCGAGCGCGAGCACTGAGAGAAAACACGTGGGATTTCTTGAGGCATGTCGGTCGGTGGCGAATCGAGCAAGTTTCCCGAGTTGGCTTTCCCGACCAGCCAGCGCCGAAAGATGGCTGGTGATGGTGACCCCGCTGAAAGTTGAGAGAATTTCTCGCGTTCTCACTCCTTCCGCCGCCGCCACCGCCGCCACCGCCGCCGCCGCCGCCGTCGCTGCCTATGTATCCCGAGCTTTCTGCTTGTCTTCGCACTTCGAAGGAAGCACGAGAACTCGCGTCTCGTGTCGATTCAGCCGCGTGTCGGTGAATTCATATCCCGGCTTTACCCTCGCCGGAGTTTTTCGCGAACGTGAACGACACGGAGATGCATACAGTATCTCCGGTCAACCTTTCTGCGACGAATTCTACATAAACGACTGAAAAATGTATTGAAAGAATGGTCCCCACATGGAGAAAGGACGAAAGTTGCCTGGTTCGCGAACGAGATATTATCGAGTTGTCACTACAGATGTTCCGACATCGCGAGTACGATATAATGGAAAATAACAATGCTCTTAGCGCAGCTCTTGTGTAATGCTACGCGGAACGCGAAGTAGTTTGCTCGCAGCTTATCTTCTCGTTGGGAAATGACACAAATCTTAGTTTCCGTGATACGCGGTTTTATCGTGTACGAGCAGACAGCAGAAACGACCGGAACATGTAAGATATGAAATAGAGAAGGCAACGCGTTAGATGAGGTGCTTCGGGTTATCTTTTTGATATAAGATTTACGTAATATACTGGATGTTTCAGCTGTGCAATAGAAATACGTTCTCCGAAAAGTTCAAAAACTATGTTACAGGCGTAGATCTTAAATATCTTCACGCACGCGACGGAAGCTCGTGATATTTTGCCTGCTGAATATTGTTGGAAACGAGGCGGAACGGTAAATAGCGAAACCTCAAGACAAGCCCCGCGCGCCAGATTCACCGTAATTAACGCGAGATTCATACGCGGCGAGTATCGCCGCGTGGTGTAAAAGCTCCTCGTTATCTCTGTCGACGACGATTCTCGTCACGTTCAACTTCGTCATCGCGCGCGCGCGCGCGCGCACCCCCTCCGCCCGCGCCAGCCATTGTTAAAACAGTGGCCGCGTTTTCTCCGCGATTTACGTCGTCGTGTCGCGCGCGAATTTTGCACAGATTCCAGGCGCGCGTTACCCTTCCGCCGCGTCTCCCTTTACAGTCCCCATGCGTTAAAATTCACTCCCCGGGTAGAGAGAGTAGTGGCAACCTTACCGCCCCGGGGCGTCGCTTCCTTCCATTATGCATTCCTTACTATTGTTGTTACGTTGCACCGCGCCGTGCCGGTGCACGCCCGCGTAGAGTAGAGTGCTTCTGAAACAGGTAATTTCAATGAATTACTGCAACGCTTTGGTGTTGCCAGTACCATCGGTACACTTCCGCGGCCTCTGTATACGCGTTTCTAGGTGGCGGAGTGTGTCCCGGGGCGTTACGGGCGGCGCGACGCTTCCTGGATATTACGCGGATCTACTTGTCAAGCATTAACGTGTCTCAACTAGTGAAGTTTTGCCAGCTAAAGATTCGGCGAGTGGAAACGTGGCGAGACCGGTATCCGTGTAGATTGCTGAAAACTAGGGGAGATGGTATCATATGCGTCATTCCGAAAGTCACATCCGAGAGCGACGCGGAGGATACAAATTGCACGACGCAAGCTCTTTGCTTCTCGACGATTACTGCTGATAATTTTATCGCAGTCTGCGCGACTTAATAATTTCTCGAAAATTTATCGAGCGATACACGCGAGAAGATAAAAAAGAAAAGTCAACATATAAAAAATTCTATTATGATCCACTTTTATCTTTGTAAATAGTTCATTGTGTATTCTTAGAGTGTATTTTTCGAAGGGAAAACTGAGACTTCTTTATACGAGACAGCAAACACGCCCACGCGAGAAAAAAATATAAATCGGCGCAGGAGAGATTAAATTTTTATTCACGTAATTCTGCTGATGGGCGCACAAACCACTGTCGCATTTCGCCGCGAAAGACTTTAATTATGAGAATAAAATTAATTTACGGTATCACATGTACGAGCAATTTCAGAAATGCGCGCCGGCTTACCTTGAATATCGCGATGTCGCTTTTCTCTCGTTTTTGCCGCTATTTAGGTATAATCACAACACCGTGCTGCATATGTATCGAAGGGATCCTTTGAACGTGCGCGATCTGTACCGCAATATTATTCGAGAACAGTATGGTCGCTGTCGATTATTCTGTGCCATCACGTGCGGTAATTACAGGAGTATTAGGGAGGTTTTTCTTTCCTGCTTGCACGCCCATTGCTGTTCGTCGTTTAATTTTCTAAATGGAACAGTCTGCGACAACGCCACGCTTTATTTTGTATTCCGCTATGCTTTCCGTGCGCTATTTTCTTCGAAGCATAATTGAACGCCAATCCAATCGTTCCCAATCATTTGAACGTTACCACTACGAAAGAAGCGCATATCAAATATATCTTTCAAATTATTTTCCGTTCTCTCTCTTAATAAAATTCAATTTGCGCGACTTACGTGTGTGTTAATAATTCTTCCATAAAATTCTATTTCAAAAGTTCGCTGTGTGTTTCAAAAGTTCCAATCATTAATTTATGTTATGAAAGTGCGATTATCTCTCTTCGCGAAGAGAAGCACAGTTACTTTTTGCGCCATTATCTTTAATGAACTATATCACATATACAAATAGCTTGGTTTGTGTTTTGAGCCTGATGCACGGGACCTCGATATACCGAATAGATATCTTTTTTTTTTACCTGTTTTACATAGCAGATGCATGCGGACGATATTGCTTTCCAAGGATTGAAATTAGCCCCCGAATGACACAGATGTCGGAGAATGCATCATCGATGCATACGTGTCGTTGAATAAAAGTCAGCACGAGCCCGTGCTGTACGTGATAAAAGTGAAAAAAGAGCGTATTTCGTATTCATCAAATCAGCATAGAGCAGCGCCGGTAAAACGTTGAAAAACTAAATCTGCCCCTTTTTTTATATGCACATCGAATTATATTATTTTGAAAGCACGCTCGCCGTATTTTACGCAGCTCGATCGTAGAACCAAGAGAATATATAAATTACTTCGATATAATTAATTAACCAACCGGTTTTTGATCGCGTACTTCACGGTGAATTACTTTCGACAAGCGCAGACTTTTTGAGTTTGCCACGATGCGCTTCCGCTGAATTATGAATGCGTTCATTTAGGCTATTGTCACAGCACTTTTAAACTTGATATTCCTAACGAGCGAATTTATGCTGAATCTTAACTTGGCGAAAATGAGAAGGAAATCTATCATTTTCTAACAATTTAATTAGAATTCTTCCTGACTAAACGAAGAGCAAATCAAGAAAGAACCGATTATTAATTGATTATCGTGACGAAAGTTGTGCAAGAGCGAAAGGGCTGCATATTAAATAAATACGAAGAAGTTGAACGATAAAGGAACGCTCGGAAACGGGCGATGCGCTGAATTTATGATCGGACGAAAACTCCCCCGTGTATATCTTTCTCGCGCAGCGCGTCTTAAGGAAAATATCATTGTTTCATTGTTTGAATGAAGTTTTAATCGATTTACATCGATGGATCTGTAAAACTTACTTCGCAGCCTATTATTTGTTATTTGGTTGTACCGCGTTGGATTTTTAATCGACACGAGAAATAAGCAACACAAAGTTCCGCGTGTCACGCTTTCAAACTTTCAAGGGAACGGTCTATAATCTTCGGAGGTCGGGGAAACTCTTTTTTTTTCTCCACTGTCATTAAAACTTTAAGGCCTGCACGGAGATCGGCCGGCGTAATTAAAGCACACTTACCCGAGATGTTCATTAAAGGCGAGGAGTTAAAGTGCATTTCATCAAAAGTTGGTGAATGTTTCGCAGTGACATCGCCTTTGTATACCCAACCTCTACCTTCGCGAGTTATCCTGTAAATAAGAAAAGCGCTGTATATATTGTATTTTTAGGTTCATCATTTCGTGTCAGTAAATTCGATAAATACTTTAGATTTGGTTTAATTGGAATATTTATTCAACACGCTCTTCCGCATCAGCATACATTTATTCCATCATTATCTATTTTTTAAATGCAATAATTTTGTAGGTATATTGCATCTAACATTTTTTGCGATATTTTAACAAAATTAACGCATTTAACTTAAATCTACATATTAAAACATGTAAGGCTATTAAACTTGAACGTAATAACTGCACGCAAAACACGAGCAAAGAAATAAGATCGAGAAAAATGCATGAGTTAAAGAGCCGGGTTCTATTTGCAGCGCGATTTAAATATATTTATGAAAAGGTTGAGAGAATTGTTTTACTGTGCTGTATTTTCAAGCCTTATATCCACCTTCGATATTAGTATAATAAAAAGGAAAAGATACGGCGCTGCTTTAAAAGATAACGCCGAGTATGTCACTTATTGTTAGTACATGATTATTCTGACATTACCTGATGCAGTGAAAATTTAACCCAAATGCAAATGCATGACCACACTCCAATACGAATATACATTTGCATCGCAAGTTTTGCTTAATGATCTTTAATTTACATTTCCCCATTTTTCACGTTATCAAATTTACTTTTTGTACCTGCTCATAATTATTAAAAGATTATCTTCGCAAAGATATCTTTAGGGAAAAATGCATTTTTATTATTTATTTTGTCACATATTTTTTTCTTTTGAAACCTATGTTAGTTTAACGAAATCATCACTCGTTACTGCAAAAATCCCATTGCTAAAAATTATTCCATCAATATTTCGAATCGCAATAACAATATCGGGACAGTAACACGAATTTTGCATGTGATTTTGCAAATATCGACAGCGAAATATTACAACGATGATAACTTAAACGAATTAATCATGCAAGAAAAAGCGGATAAAGCGCCAATAAAAGACCCTCCGTTCAGAGAAAAAGATACGTATGATGCTGTTAAATAAAGCATTTTTTTTTCTTTGGATTAAACTCGGCGCATTTAAGTGCAATAAATCCCGACCTTTTCCATCGCCCAGCGCAAAGCTTCGCTAACCCAAATAAAGTATTACGCGTGAGTAATTCGGTGCGGCAGCTCCCGTGCGTCGTAATCTCTTAAAGCTAAACGGCTCGCAATTGATTTCCAGACAAATTGTCCGCCACTCAAGTCGTCTTGAGTGCAGTCTTAACGGCCAATTATATTTCGGATTTATCCGCGATAACTACGAAGTGCACCGCTCCTATCCGCCATCGTCGGACGACGAGAGCGCCCGCTCCTGACCCGGAATATATTCGCGGCATTTCCGGCACGTGCGCTACGTACGGGATTTATGCACGTCGTCCATTTGCCTGCCAGATTTAAGTTCTGACTCGCGTGTCCCGGGATCAGATGGCCGGCGGGTCGGATATCACCGGTAAAGAACGGCGCCCGGATGCTGAGAGCCAAATCGCGCCGGGAAATTACGCGATCCGTCGTCCTTCTGGCCCCGCGCCGCAGGAAATAGTTGTTAGAACGGCCATTTCCTGTGTTGCCGAGAAAAATTAAGCGATTTCGGAGGAGGGTGGAATCTTCTTCGGTCGCCGGTTAAAATTCCCGGCACGGTCTAACGGTCGATTTATTTCAATGCTCTCCTCCTGTCGGAAGCTTAATAGAAAGCTCGCCTCGCGATCTTAATGGATTTTCTTTGTGTGTTCGATTGCACTTCGTTCCTCGTTCGCGCGTTCCAGCGCGAATAATTTCGCATAAGCCCAGACGACGCAAACGCTTCCTTGTCATCAGAAAATACTCGACGCCGTATTCGAGCTCTCCGTGAAATTATCGTGAATAGAACGATTCTCTTCGGAAATCGGTAACTCGGAAGAAAAGTACACACTTATACCTACCTTCTCGACTATAAACGAGTACGAGTTATTGTGAGAAATTATCGTTATAGAAATCAAATTTGGTTGGAATATCTCGTAATCGTTTAACCGATATATCGCGACGCCCAAAACAATAAGCAGAACCGTATAAATACCGATGAAGCAACCGAGATTTGAATACGTAATATACGAAGCGATATATCACGGTGTTCGTATTTGCAGAAAAAGTTTGCGAAGCAATGCAACGATGGAGAGAGAGGTAATTAACGAGAGTATCCGCGAAGTTTAAAACCAATTACGTAATGCCGCGTGTAATAGCACAGCGTCGCCGTCGTAGAGAGCACAGCGCCGTAATAAAATAATAATAACGGTCGAACAGAGAACAATGCGGGGCGAAAGTTACCTCGCGTCGTAAATTCGTAACAAGCCCGGAGAGAGCTCCGTCGCAATTTTACACACGCATCATTCCGAATAAAAGTTGCGTTTACGCGGCGCTTTCTCCGCAATCTGCGTCCGAATTGGGAATAACTAGGCTGCGCGACGCGTCCCGCGTCACCCCGAGGAGAGCGTAAAACATTCCGGCATTAAACATGTAGGACGAACGATGACGCTAAATCTTCCTGAGACGTTATACGACTTAAACCACCGCCGCCACCGCCATCGCCGCCCTCCTCTCGCTTCTCGTTTCGCTTTCCGTTCCGAACCCCCCTCGACGTCGATTTCTCGGTTTAACCGCAACGTGCCGCACTTGCCGTAGCATTCTATCCCATCTCGTCGTCCTTCTGCCAGCCACCCTCACTCGCCTCCCTCAGCCACTCTTCCTTCATCCTACCGTTCCGACACTCTTTTCTCGCGCTGTTCGACGATCCTCTCGAGATTTACTGCCTACTGTTGGCTGTTCCTTGTTCTCCTCTCGCATACCGCGAATCTTTCCATTCTCTTTCTCTTTCTCGCTCTCGTCCACTTTTCTCTTTGCAGAGCGTCGCAATTCCACGTCTGCCAATTTTGATTTATATCCACGCGATCGCGTATACGTACCGGTTACGACTTGTACGCCGCCGTTAGACGGATCGCGACTCTTCCGGGCCTCGGGCGTCCATCTTTCCTAATACGTCGCCGTATCCCGGGCGTCTCGATACTTCGTGCTCGATGGCGCGCGACGCACGTTCGATTCGCGCGCCCCATGAAATTCCGAAGAGTCTGCAGGAGGATGCGATATTAACCCCGGGACCGCAGGATAGCGTACGGACGATGGACCGATACGCCGCGTTCGCCCCTGGCCATCGAACGAAATTACGAACGGACCTTCCATCCACTCGTCCTGATTTATCGTTTTTCTTTTCAAACTGCGATAACGCATCGGTTTATATATCGGCTGCGGCACAGCTCAAGTTTATATAGGAGATTTATGTGGTATTACTCGGGGAAGCGCTGCGTGAGAGAGCAATTTTTGTGTATTTAGAGTGACGGTGCGAGTGTTGAGTCTCGATAACGCGCGTAAAATGCATTCAGCGAGACAATGTGTACAAATTGAAGACAAAAAATAATGTAGAAATTACAAGCGCGCGCCAGATGCGTATTATGCATATCGCGAGTGGCACGAGTTCTGTTTGCGAGTTGTGCGACGTGCTGCAGCGACGTTATTGTTAATATGTCGTTCATATACCCGTTCATTCATTGTATCTTCATTCCCAACATTGCAGAACGTGAATCACGAAATATATTGTACATGTGACGTCGCATCAGCTACTTTCGCGATGAAACGGTGAAATGCATCGATAAAAGTGCAAAACGCGGTATGTGCGACGTATTAATTCGTATCTCTCTTCCCGCACGTTGTAGCATTAACGTTATTATCTACGCCCGCAAGTTCCTTCCGCCAAGACGACGGCTGGGTGTCGGAAGAAGTTTACGGCAAGGGGGAGCTAATTCGCAGCAATAATTCCGCCCGCCTTAACCGCCGACGCCTGAATGCGGTTTAACAGGATGTATAAGCGTCTCTTACCCCTGTTTGCGCCGCGGAAGGATTAAGACTAAAGACGGAGTGGCGGCGCCGGTAGCGTCGACTGAGAAAAGACATTTAACAGATAGGACATTCCCCGTCCTCGTTTGCCCCGAGAAGGCAAAGATGCATTCTCTCGAGATATCGATCTGTACGTGTACTTGTACCCTGGTGAACACGCACATCATGTCTCTGAAATGAACGGTGGCAAACATAACTTTATTCCCCGTATAACTTGCAATTTATTTTTGACGGAGATCTCAAGAAATTAAGTATTTTGATATAGCAAGAGAAACTCGTGAATTTAGAATTCGCGACGCGAAAATAGATAATTGAGAGCTATTCGTTTTTCATAAAAAATGAACTTCGAGATCTTCTTTCCTTCGACCACTGCAATTCAATTTCGTTAATTTATTCAGAAAGCTTTTCGTTACCGAGAATAAATGTCGATCAATAAACGACGTCGGATTATCCACTCGATCATACACGTACAATCTAATTTTCGTAACGAACGCCTCGGGTAATAACTTTCTGTATCTAGGGTGTAGGACGTTCTTGCGGATTCCGCCGATCCGCCCGACCAAGCTGACCTCCCGATCGATGATCAATAACCTCCAGTAGAGGTGCGGGGCGTCCGACCTCACGTGTACATTCACCGTATCACGCAGCCATAACTTGCGCGCGGTAATTGCTTCGCTAGAGACGATTGTCGTCGTTATGGTAATATTCCTGTCGGCCGGACATGTGCTCCAATCATCTCTCGTGCACTTAACTCCTCCAAACGTATAATCGCTTGCACTAATAGCAATCGACGAAACTGCCAATTATCAGTGAATACTCTTCGTGCGTACCATTTGGGCTGAGTTCGGCTACGGTGCTCGAGATGCTCGAAATTTCGCCTCGGGCCGTCTTTGCCGAGAAAAGAGATGTTTGAGCTGATATTGGGCCTTCACGATGCGCGCTCCTATATCGATTCGTAAACACAGTTTTTTTTTCTGGAAAATAACTTCCTTTGGCTAGGATGTATTATCATTCGCAACGATATGTAGTTACAAGGAGCGTAATTATTACTCCGAAATTTC